TTATGATTTAGTGGAAGCAGAAAGTGAAATCCAAATCAGCGCCATTCTGGCATCCGAAATGGCAGTGGTGTTTGCCAACTTTAGTTTGAGGATAAATGCACAGACAGCAGATAAAGTGAATCAAATACTTATCCAGAGCTGAAATCGTATCCACTTGTCTCCATATCAAATGTCCACCAAGGGGTCTAATTACGCTCAACTAAACAAGGTTTGATCTGAAACTGTAAATGTTCATCTGATTTTGTGATGTGTGCATTAATTATGTACAGGTAAGCCCCAAATTAATTTTAACCTGGCAAATGTTTTCGTTTGCTTAATTCATGTTGCTGTGCATATTCAACAATTAATCAAGTAGGGAATTTTATGGATTATTTTTAAGTCTACAAGCAAAACAATTTTGCTATCTCAAGGACCTGGAGAGTTATGCAAGAGAGTGTAGGTCTAAGATCCCAATTAAAATGTGAACTAACACCAACAAAACATTAAAAATGTTTGACAAAACAGATAAATATGGTGGCCTTGAGGTGGAAAACACAACAGCAAATCAAAAAACACCAAAACAAAAAAATAAATAAACTCAACAGCAAATTAAAAAAACAAACACAAATAGCTTCACAACAAAAAGCTAAACACAACAAGATAAATACATCATATCCAAAAACATAAAAACAAACAAAATTCAACAGCAAAATTAACACAAAAACAAATTTATAATCTCAACAGCAGGTGAAAAAAATCGAACAACAAAAATCTGAACAGCAAATCCAAAAACATAAAATAACTCAACAAAATAGGGAAAAGAAAGCTTACCAGCAGCGAATCGTTAATAACACACACACAAAAAAACCCCACAAAAATAAAAAACTAAACATATCAGCACACAAAAATACTACCAAAAAAAAAAAAAAACAAACAAACTAAATAATAAAAACTTGAATAACACGACATTAACCACACAGAAGTGGCCAGTGTGCGTGTGGGGGTGATCACACTCATCGCTGATTGGACGAAAGGGACGACTGGTTGACTGAATGTACCACTCGTCAGAAAAGCAATGAGTCTGACCAACACCAACGCAATAAAATCAACCGTTCACTGTGCATCTGTTTTTTAACATGCCAAAAAAAGGTTAATTTTACACCTGCCAGTGTGAACAAAACAGGACTGGTGTGAGACAACACATGCATGGGATGGGCAAATGCAAATTGCCTTGGTTGCAACACGGCCCCAAACACGCTAGACGCCGGCACGGAAATGAAGTTTCGTCCGTTTTTACGTTGAGTGCATGAGCACCAGTCCAACCGAAATAGACAAAAACGGAGTGTTAAATTGACCAAAACGATGGTGGATGTTCATTAGTTCATTCATTCATTTTCCGAACCGCTTTTATCCTCAGAAAGGTCGCGGGGATTGCTGGAGCCCATCCCAGCAGTCTTCAGGCAGTAGGCGGGGGACACCCTGAACCGGTTGCCAGCCAATCGCAGGGCACACAGGGACGAACAACCATCACACTCACACCCAGGGACAATTTGGAGTGTTCAATCGGCCTGCCATGCATGTTTTTGGAATGTGTGAGGAAACCGGAGTTCCCGAAGAAAACCCACGCACGCCCGCAGAGAACATGCAAACTCCACACAGGAAGGCCGGAGCCGGGATCGAACCCACAACCTCTGCATTGTGAGGTCGACGCGTGAACCACTGGATACCGGGCCTGCCGCTATGGTGGATGTGGATGTTGATAAACGTGAAACTAAATATTATTTAAAGTGAGCTTATCAATTAGCCTATTGATTGATTGTCTTTATTTTGAACATGTCAGCAAAACAATAACAATAAAATAAAAATAAGGAAAAAGGACACCAAAAAAAAAAAAAGTTGTAAATTAAAATAAATCAAAGTCAAAGTAGACGCATTTGGTCAGGGCCACCGTAGTCTCACCTACAACTTTTCTTCAGCTAAATCATGTGTTTGCCTTAAATGCCCATCGTGGCATACCTGTTTGTCATGCTTCATGTTGAATGTGTTTCTGTGAGAAAACAAGGGAAAGTGAAGCCTCAACAATAGTGAAAGTACTGTAGCTGAATTTACTTGGTTATTGTTGTGTGTGTGTGTGTGTGTGTGTGTGTGTGTGTGTGTGCGCAACGGTGGGGGCGGGGGGGTCGCTTCTCAAGGAAGTGGCAAGTCATAAGAGCCAGCTGATGAGTATCACCCTCATCCGGAGCGCTATTCATGCCCTGTGCACAAGGGCTCATTCACTCAGAGCTTTTCACACTCATGCGCCCTGAGAGCCCCCGGGGGCACTTTCCCACTGTGAACTGTCACTCACTCAAAACATCCTACACAAATGTCAGAATAGGCATCCAGATGCAAACACACATGCTCATCTATTTTGGATTACAAAATCGAAACGCAGGAAAAGGCTGCTTTTCTCTCCTGAATCAGGACACAAACATGTCTCAATAGCTTGAGTAAGGCTCCTTTAGACTGGCAGAGATGTCACATTTGCTTTCTGTAACACACTTAGCACTGTCAAGACCATAGTTACAGACTGTGGTGTAACAGCATAGATTTTATTTATTTACTTTTTTTTAATATTTGATGGCAGTAGACATAAAATTGGAAGCTGAAAGATGTTTTTTGTAGTTCCATGCTATGGATAAGTAGCTTTCTTAAGACAATCCAAAATTTGGTTTGCGTTTTTTTTGGGTTAATTGCTAGTATTTAGGAATTTAACCAACTGTTCCCACTAGGGCAGTCCTTGTTTTGCTCAGTTTGGTGTAGTACGAGTTTTGAGAGGCCTCAAAACTTGTCAAGGGTGCAAATCAGTACACGTCCGCAACCACCCACTGGGATGACCAAAGTTGGATGTTCTCCGCTTGAATGAGGCTTCAGCCCGACGTCTGTGAAAAGTGTAATCGATCACCCAAGCACTTACTTATGACGTTAAACATGCTACCTGTGTCAATCTTGCATTAGCTTAGCATTTAGCATGGCTTTTCCATTTTTTCTTGTCGTTCTTTGGTGAGTAGGATACTTGTCAGAAATGTAGCTTATTCGCTGCCACGCAAACGATGATTACTGACTTGGGAGCAACTTTGCAATATGTTTAGGTGCACTAGTAGCCAGCCGAAGCTATTGCTAGCAAGCTGCTTCTGTGTAGCTAACACAGAACTTTACTCGACCTAGAACTATCTGTGATACTTCACGTGAGCCCTGCGAAACTTTTTGGTACCATCTCAGTGTTTTTTTTTTCTCCCTTTGACACTTTCTTTTGACAATTGTTTTTGGATTTGATTATCAGTTTTGCTATTCAATTTGTATTAATGAGGTACACAGTCGAAATTTTCAATGGCAACCCATTTCTCGGATACATTTCCTTACCAGTTATCAGGGTAAAAGAAAGCTAAACCTTATTGCAAAAAAGACTGGCACCCTGCATTGGCCGCGAGTCAATCACAAACAGAGACACACAACCGTTCACACCATCACTGAGTGGAACTGATCCGAAGCGGCCTGCACAGAAGTCAGGGAAGTATACCACTACAACATCAGTGACCTGAGAAAACACAATACGCAAAACACAAAAAGTACCCTTCTGATGGATGTTCTAAGGATAATGCTGACAAGCAGCAGGGTCCCGCATACTCACCCAGCAGTAAAAGCACAAGGCAGATCAGGCTTTAGCATTCTAAACCACTCACAGCTAAATTGAACAATGTGTCCTTGTCCACAACTTGACTCTAGTCCTAAATACAAACATAATTGTGTTTGATCTGTGGTCATCTTTGGGAGTATTCCTCTTACGTTGTGACCTTATTCAAATCCCATTCCATTCTGAGAGTAAAGGTGTGCTTTGGGTGTTTACTTTTAATTACACACCAATGTGCCAGTTTCATGAGCTCTGTATTTGTCATCACCGTGCCCCAGAAAAGTCCACACAGAAAAACCTAAAATGAAAAAAAAACCTAAAAACTTTAATTTTGGGGTGCAGTGTTTCACTTTTTTGTTGTTGAATTTCTCAGTGACAACTGTGTTGACATGTTGTCACACAGACTACGTAGTTGGAACAGCCATCACCTTCCCACCTATAGATAAGATTCAATTCAAACAATGTTTGTGTCATTGGCAAGATAGTATCTCTCAAGTTGGAAAAAAAAAACATATATTGTATATGGATATAAGTGCATGATCATGGTTTCCAAACTGTAAGATTCTAAGCTAAATTAACCTGCTTGATGCATGAAAAGATGCCTTACATGTATAATACTGCAATCACAGTGTGGGAGAGAATTTGATACTCTGTCAAAAAGCCTCAGAGACTAACCAATCTTGTCAGAATATAAAGGATGGGTATGTGCAGGGTAACAAAGAAGAAACAATTTAGTGTGACGTTTCCTTTGTATCTCTGAGGCATGCACTTGTTCTCTGACTGGCATTATGACACATATTATCAGCCACGGGAGAATAGCATCCCCACTGCTCTGATTGGCCTGCTATTATCTTGATAAAAATGGCAAAGGGATAATTCAGCACCATTTCAGACCACAGTCCAAATCTCTCAGGATGTTTTTTTTTCTCTCCACTCAACGAGCAGAGGAATAGGTTACTCTATTTCTTCCATTAACATTATATTCTACAGGTGCAGTTTAAAACACTAATCATGCATCCGACATTGTTTTTCCATTTTTGGTCCACTTTCGCTTTGACCATGTGAATCTATTTTGGTGTGAGCCTCTTAGTGGATTTCCAAGCATTGTGACATATAAATGTACAGTATGGATGCCTGTTCCTCTGCAGAGGTTGGCCTCCCCGGAGCGCAAAAAAAAAAAAAAAAAAAAAAGCGCACAGCGCTCACGCAGTAGAGGTAGAGAAAATAAGTCCCCACGCAACAGTTACGAGCCTCTCACTCATACGGCCTTGATTCCATTTGCTTTACGCACATTGTTTCGAAGGCAAACCACAAACAAGGAGGGCCAGAACAACAAGGCATTGATACTCACAGGCATATGTCATGGAAAAACTATTTCCCATCTTGACCATATCGACCTGCGGCACCAGTTTGGGGATGTCCTGGTGGTGTGAAAGGGCGAAGCGAAACACTTCATATTCATGGGACTCGGTGGGGAACAATCCTCCTGTTGAGCACCAAACACAAATCGTTATATCGTGGTGGGGGGGAAAGACCCACTCCGGGAGAGAGCGATAGAGCTATCACTTTAGAAAAAAAGACAAAGGGTTTGCTTTACGAGTGCGCGCGCCATTCTTACCTATATTGATGTTACTTGGGAAACTTGCGCTTGAAGCCAAGCACATCCCCAGTAAACTGGTGTAGAGGATGCTGAAGCTTCGCTGCATATTTCCTTTTGCATTGGCGAAGGGAAAAGAGCCGAAATCCAAACATACATACGTTTCCTCCGCGTATTCAACTTCCAAATGCCTCCCGTTGCCCCAGCACTCTTCCCGCTGCTCGTTAGCGCAACATCATCGTCACCGACGCGGATTTCAAAGAGAGACGACGATGATGATGAAGGTGGTGCTGGTGGTGCTTCTGATGGCGATGGCGAGAGGAGGTACCTTCCTCTCTCCTGCTTTCCCTCGATCTACTGATGCTCTCTTGTCCTTGGCTGCTGTTGTAATGATGGAGAATGTCTTCAGCGTTTGGCGCGCTGCAATAAATATATAAATAAAAAAAGAAATGTGCACGCCCAGCGGGGATAAGGAAATTGGCCAAAACTGTTTAGTCTTATCGTAAGGACCTCATATTCATCATGCATATCGTTCCAGCCTACACATTTATTTCACTGTTTTCCTCTGAAAGGAGTTAAAATGCTTCAGTTCAAAATCTCAAACTCGGACTCAGAATTGAAACGCTGTCCACGAATGGCACTCTTGTTTGTGCTTTTCAGAGGTTGAGTTAGAATAAAATATTTTCCGTGCTCTTAATAAGGCAAGGAATTAAAGATAATTTCTCAATATTTCAATCAGTGTCCTATAAGCAGTGTTGTCTCCAAACCTTTATTGAGCTAAGGCACATAGTTTATATTGACAAAATCTCACAGCCTATTGCCAAAAAAAAAAAAAAAATCCGCAAAATGTTTGGTGGAAATGCTAAAATACTGACACTGTGCTTCTTAATTTGAACACAAAGCTATGGAACAACAGTCACATTTTTGATATTCAGTGTCGATTGAGCTTTTTTGACCTCGGGTGTTCAAAGTGCTGCGCAAACTAGCCTCACGTCTTCGAACAAATGACATGGGAAATACCTGTACAACACAAACATAAAATGATTAATTTTGTCTCAAATACAAGGAGTGAAATGTTACAAGTGACCACATGGTCTGGGTCACGTGAAACATACAGCTTCGGGTGAGATGTACCATTTGGAAATAAAATCCATAATAATGACTAACGATAATGAACACTTATTCTTCAAATCATGTGACGGGTTGGCAACCGGTTCAGGGTGCATCCCACATACTGCCCAAAGACACCTGGGCAGTGATGTACCTAAATTAGCACGAAAGCTCATGAGCTCGTTCATATTCAGGCAAACATGAGCAGAACGTAGTGTATTTCTGCCCAATTCACGTTGTTTGCAAACAGCTTTTGGACGACAGTTCATTTTTTTCTCCAGTGACAGGTTTTGTTAGTCTTCCAAGAGAAAACCCAACTAAACCAAAGTAAATAACCATGGACCATGATGAGTCCAATGAGATGTAACATGTGTAACTTACCGCATGAACAATAGACACACATTGGACATTGAGGAAGACACAAGGAAAAACAATGCCATAATGCAAAGCAAAAATTTGCAACGGGCAAACCAGAAACAGCAAACTAGCATGTTATTCTACAATTTTTACCCAAAAAGTGTTCTCATGCAAGTTTTCTCCAGCCCCGGTGTGCAGAACTGCACAAAAACAGGCAGGCACACGCAGGTGTGTATTGAATAGTTCCGGGACAAGGACTGCGTTACAGTAGGAGGTGAGACACACCATGCAGTTGACATTAAAAACAAATGCCGTGAGGAGCATTTTTAATGAACAAGAAGTGGGCGATGAGCTTGACTGCTCGAGGTACTATCTGCTTTCTCTCAAACCTTCACAATTCCTGGCGCAGGCAGCGGCGTTGCGGCATTTATGTCCATATTGGCTATGCCAAAAAAATTAAGCCCTTGAGACACCGGACCAAAGCAGCACTCTGACCATCATGCGGGTAAGGTTGGAGGACATATTATTTATAGCATTGTTGGTGCGTGTGTAACGAGCAAAATTATTGTACCGGTAAAGAAAGTTTTTGGTTTGACTTCCCCTTCGAAGGGTTGCGCCCTATAAAGTCCTTGTGATTGAGAGTTTGAAAGTAGTTGCATGACTAAAGAGCAATTGAAGGCGCTAAGAAAAAATACAAATTAACAAGAGTGACTCTTGACATCGCTTGGGCTACAGGATAAACAAAATAAATCACAAACCGGCTGAATGAAAACGGTCAGATTTTATATTCTGGCACATTAGAATTGCAAATAGGGTTGGGGGAGGGGTCATTTCCAGGAGGAATTGATTTAACTTTGCAAGATTCCACTCTTTAAACTGGTGCTTTTTCAATATAACATATTAAAATTCTGACTATTGCTCTGCATGCTCTTTTCCCTTTTGCAGGGAGCAGGACTGGTGAGCTGTGATAAGGGAGGGGGTTATGATTTAAACCATGTATTTACAGACAGCTACAGCCAATTACCTTCGAAAGAAAAGGTACATGCCCCCATCCTTTTGTACACATTGGGGGGAAAAAAATGGAGCAAACACCCCATGGGATTGGCTGCAAGATGCACTGTGGTGTGATATTTTCAGGGGTGCGGATGGGATTTTGCAACTGGCGGGGCATGGGGACCAAGTTTGTAAGAATAAGAAACATACATATACTGTACGTGTACATAGATACATCATGCAAACATTATTGATAGATCGATAGATCGATAGACCATCAGAGTATATTATCTCACTAGACATGGTTAACATTTAGCTGTAAAGATAATTTGTAGAAAATAACGTGCAAACGCCGAGGAGGAATTCTTGTACTGAATTCAAGTCAGGCAGGCAAAGCGAGTGGCAACGTAAGATGGCCGACAGTGGCTTTGGCTTGACTTCTCTCGACAGCAGGTAAGTGGTGGTGGTCCATGCACATGTAAATCCGTGGTGTAGGGGCTCATATCATCTCATATCGCCAGAGTAGAGAGGTGGGAGGAGATAAAAATATTTTGAGGAATTGAGGCGACTTTCCTCAATCTCATATCATGGAGACGTTTATTTAATATGATGTCACGTCATTTTCGTTTGTGTGGCTGAATTACCGGTACTATTATCACCAAGTATGTCAACTTTATGCTTCATGTTTCAAGTGGGATTACATTAAACTCCAGTTTGAAGACACCACATTTACTAAAGAACAATTTTGCAGATGATTGTCTGATTGTCGGTAGTTTCCCTCCCAAGCACACTCCAGAGCTTGCGCGGAGCGCATATTGGGCTTTGATATCGTATAGGTCGGATGTGCACGAATGAGCGTTCATTCTCCAGACCCAATGGACTCATTGGAATTGAAACTAATCTGAATTGTACTGTTCACTATGCTTGGAAAACACCAAATCTGAATTGAGCTGCACTGTGCTCATAGCCTAAAACATGCTTGCTTTGTCAGAGAAAGGTAAAACGTTTTCTTTATTTAGAATCCCTCGGATGTCTTATGACTTGAACAACACAAATGAAGACATGAAAAATCATACTGGAAAAAAAACAAATCATGTACTTAATTCAATATCTAATGTTTTTAGATGAGTCGAAAGGTTAAAATCTGGCCCCTTGCATTATTATGGAAGTGCAAATTGGCAAATATAGATCTTTTTTATTTCTTCAATGGTTGCAGGATGGTTACTAGAAACATAGGTTTAGATTTCTTCATTGTGTGCACGAATAACGCCTTATGCATTTGTAAGCAACCTGGTTTCACAGTGTTTATTTCTGAGTGTACCAAGCATCATGCAACCACTTTTTAAAGCCAGATTAATGCAAATGGCCCTGAGAAAAGCAGTCGTAATGATGGCAAACTATTCTGAGGAAGAATGCTGGCAATTGCTTGTTATTCCACGTTAAGAATATCTCATGTAGACAGAAAGGAAAGCACCAAACAGAATCTTCGTCATGGATCACAAGGTGAGTGTCTGCATGAGGTTTTTAATAGAAGTCGATGTGAAGCAAATAATGAGGCCAATCCGTCAAATTCCATCCTATGGTTCCATTCTACTGGGGTGGAAGAGTCACTCACAAGCATGCTATTCCTTTAAATTGAGCCACTAGAATACCCATGCTGTCACACTGTGTACATCACAGGACTACACCGTAGATCAGATAGGCTAAAAAAGAAAACTAAGCGGAAGAAACGGGTGGAGGTGATGATGGAAACAATGACACAATACAGACTAAAGCCGCGACACACACCACTCATGCATTTACTGCAGTTTAAGCTGTTTAGGGTTAGTGTTGCAAAGTGATAGAACATGCCCATAATATTTCTGTTATGCTTCCAGAAAATTTACTTGGGAAGTTTAATTTCGGAATTTTTAAAAATATTGAATTTCCAACTAGTACCTTTCTAAATATATGAGCATTAACTGAGAATTTAGGGCAATCTAATGGGAAAGTATAACATTCAGGCATACATAGAAAGATTTAGTTTTGTAATAAGCAGACAACCACACACCCACACAATAATGGAGCAAGCGAGGGCTTGTAATAATAAAAAAAAATTGGGCACTCTTAATGCTGCAGTCAGACCCAACGTGAGTTGCACATTTCTGGCAGCGAGTTTCCATAGACGGTCATTGCAGTTTGCGCGGTTCCACGCCATGCTTTGCTGTTGTGAACTTTTGTCATCACATCACACATAAATGCAGCATAAACACACACACACACACGCACGCACGCACGCACGCACGCACGCACGCACACATCTCTTTTCATAACCTCCGTCTTATCTTGCATCTACTTTATTTTTCAGTTTCATTCATCTTAGGGTCAGTTATGGCTGTTGCTCATCATGGCATGCCTCGGTGGCGTACGCGTGAGTTTGTGGATGCACACGCGTGTGCCTGTGTTTATTTATTTACCCATTGCGTGCGAGTGTGTATGTGTGCACATACTTTCTGTGAGGCTGGTAAGCCACCTTCAGATGGAAGTGGAACACCAGTGGTGGCGGCGGCCAGGAAAACTGAAAGCGGAAACGCAGGAGCTCAGCAGCAGAGAATTGGAGAAGTGCAGACACTGGAGGGTGGACATGGATCAAGATGATAAAAAAAAAAAAAACAGCAAGCTCCACACTTGGCACTCTGGCAGTCCACATACTTGTACAAAACTTGGGACGAAGGCGAAGAGGGGGTACAGACTGATGTCCTACGCCAGCCTCCTTCAGTCAACAGGTAGAAGCTTCCACGTATGAACCAATCAATCACTTAGGGATAATTAATAATGTACCTTAAAATAGTTTAAGAGAAACCAAAAAATCGTAAGTAAGCCATTAGTAAGCCAGTGAGCAGAAGCAGCCAAGTGCGCCATTGTTCCCTCAACCGGAAACCGGAAGTCCTCTATACCTGACCAATATTGAGGG